AAAAAAAAAGTGAGAAAATAATAACTGATTAAAAGATGAATGGCTTTCAGAAAAATATTTTCTGATACTAGCTAGAGTCTCTCCTTTAGAGTCTGGCCCCTGAAGGCATTTGGATTTGGGGTCCCTGGTTTAAGCAGGCGGTACATCTGGCAGGCTCTCTTGAGAATATACCCCATTGCTCCCCACAGCTGCCTACCCTCTAGTCACACCCCTGCCTGGGGCATCTAGAGGAGCTAAGAAGTCTGGGACCTCAAGGAGTGGCTTCCAGTGGTCACATGAGGCAGCAGATCTCCACCCTCCACAGGCATGTAGGGCAAGCACCCAGGAATATGCTCTGAGTTCCAGTGGGGACACACAGCAGGCTGCCACTATACATGGGTCCTGCCTCAACTAGCAGAGTGACCTAGAACCAGCTGTTTAACCTCTCTAGCCCTCAGTTTCCTCAGCTATGAAATGAGCATGGTAACAGTCCCTACCTTATAGGATAGCCGTGAGGATTATGGTACTTAGTAAGTTTGTGGCACTAGTGAACACATTGGCATTGGTATAACCATGGCTAGCCAGAGTGTGGCGCTATGACCAGGAGCTTCAGCATGCCTTGGGGGCTTGTCTGAGAGGCAGTCATGGGTCTGCTCTCAAATCATCATCTCTGGGAGTTAGGCCAGGGATCTGGGGTTTTTTGTTTTGGGGGGGTTTTGAGACAGAGTCACACTCTGTCACCCTGAGTAGAGTGCTACGGTGTCATAGCTCATGGCAACCTCAAACCCTTGGGCCTGAGCAATCCTCTTGCCTCCGCCTCCTGAGTGGCTGGGACTACAGGTGTGTGCCATTATGCCTGGCTACCAGGGATCTGTTTGAACAGGGTGATTCTGATATACAGTAGTTTAAAAGGCATTATCATGTGAAATTTTTCAAAGATGTTCTACACAGGGTCTAAAGTTTTAGAGGTAATATATAAGGCAGACATTAAATGAAATTGCAAGGGCAGGGTGACATTGTATATTGTATCAACTCTGTAAAATGTTTCTTCTAACATAACAAATCATGCAATGTTAAAGTGCTGTACAGGTACAGTATTTTAAATGAAACAACTAAAAGAGCATGATAATTGTGTAAGATGTATACAATCAGCCCTCCTTATCCATGGGTCCACAGTTGTGGATTCAGCCAACCTTGGATTGAAAAAAGAAATGCATCTACCCTAAACATGTAGACATTTTTCTTGTCATCATTCTCTAAACAATCTAGTTTGACAACTATTTACATAGCATTTACATTGTATTAGGTATTATGAGTAATCCAGAGAGATGAGTTAGGCATAGGGAAGGGTTTGTGTATATGCAAATACTACCCTATTTTATATAATATCAGGGACTTAAGCATCAGGGGATTCTGGTATCCTGGCGGGTAAGGGGCTGGGTGTTCCTAGAACCAACTCCCTGCAGAACCAGTAGGATGACTATATACAGTTCTGCAGTCACAACGATATAAAAACATTCTGAGAAATGTGTCACTAGGCACTTTAATTGTTGTGCAAACATCAGAGTGTACTTAACAAACCTAGGTGATACAGGCTGCTACACACCTAGGCTGTATGGTTCAGCCTACTGCTCCTAGTCTACAAACCAGTACAGCATGTTACTGTACTGAATAGTGCTGGCAGATGTAACACAATGGTGAGTATTCGTATACCTAAACACCTCTGAACATAGAAAACGTAAGGTAAAAAATGCAGTAAAATCCTACAGGACAACTGCCAAATATTTGGTAGTTGTTGACTGAAATATCATTAGCCCACAGATGAGGCGTGATTGTATGTGTATTTAATTTGATTCCGCCCTACGGATCAGACCAAACTAGACTCCCAAGCTCATCCATTGTCAAAGAGTAGGGTACCCAGGGGGCTGTTGTAGAACCCAGGACAGGGCACTGCAGGGTGAGGAGAGAGGCCTACCTGAGTCTAAGAACATGGCCTCATCCCAACTAGATAAAGAGAAAAGAAGACACCTCAGCCCAGCTTGCCCTGGGGTCCCCTCCCACCACCCTGAGACCTGGAGAGCGGCCAGGAAGCAGGCTGCTCGGCTCGGCCCATCCGGGCACCAGGAGCCAGGCCCTGAGCAGGGGGGTGAGGAGTGGGAGTGGGAGCAGTCGGGGAGGGGGTATCATCCTGAAGCTGAGGGCAGCAATTACATAACAAACAAACCCCGGGCTCAAGCTGTGAATTAATCAAACCGCTGAAAATAAAACCTTCCTCTCAGGAACTTCAGACAAAAGAAATGAAAACAACCAGGCTGGCTGGAAAATAAAAGGCAGCAGCACTGAATGGGGGACAAAAGGAAGCTAGACAATAGGGTGTTGGACAAAAGCAATAAAGCCAAAGGAAGTGTGACAGGCGCACAATGCGGGCCTGTGGGCCTCTGATCCAGCGGCTCGGTGCCACCTCGCCCACACCCACCATGGCCACCCGGTCCCTCTGCTCTCTGGACTGGGGTCCTAAAGGTTTTTCTCCTTCGTCCTGTCCCAACTTCATGGACTTATAGCTTCTGCCCACTGTAGCCCAAAGACCCTGGCAGCAGCCATAGCAGTAGCTGCAGCAAGGAGAATGGTCAGCCAAACAGGCAGGACCTAAGATTTCCTTGGTTAGAGATGATGAATGTGTGTCTATCTGTGCCCTGAGCTGAAGGTGGTAGCAGAGGAGGTGATCGTCTGTCCTGATAAACTCTAGGACTGCACTGCCCAAGCCCCCCCCCCCCCCCCCCGCGCCGCCACTTGCCACATGTGACTCCTAAGCACTTTGTAATGTGGCCAGTCCCAACAGGAATGTGGTGAGTGTAAAATACACACCAGGTTCCCATGGCCTATTACACAGAACAGAATGTAAATAAAATAGCTCATTAATAATTGGTTATTAATTACAAGTTGAAATGGTTTTTTTGGACCGTATGAAAGGTTCGCAGCGTTAGGGAAGGTTGAGAACCACTGGCGTTAGACAAAAATACATCATTAAAATTCATTTCACCTGTTTCTTTTTACACTTTTAAATGTAGCTACTAGAAAACAAATTTTTTGCAATAATCAATAGAAATTTATTTCATCTGCGCGTTACTAGAAAATTTCTAATTGCACATGTAGTTCCTATTATATTTCTGTTGGACAGCATTGCCCTAAGACATCTTCTCCCTTTGACCTTGAATGGCTTTTTCAATCCACACTTAACCCCCAGCAGTACCCCAGCCAGCACTGTGGATTGCCATTGCCATTAGGGAACCTGACTCCTGG